AAGCTCACCTTTACATTCCATTTCTCACATTTGAGGAAAGGTATTTTCTCTTATGATTTAAGTTTACGTTTTGTATCCAAGATCATTTGGGTTTACCTAGCAATTTGGAGTTAAAATGAGCCATCATGCTAATTGCAAGGAACAGCACAGGTTGGCTACATTAGCAAAAACAAACTAAGTGACATGGGATGGAAAATGAAAAACAGTTTTTAAATACTGGGGTGAAAACAAATAGATACGTCTTGCAGTGTTTCTTCAACAGCAGTTTATAATTACCGCTCTTCAAGGCCTATTCTAAGGGAACTTGTAACAGTAGCTTGAGAGGTAAACGACAATAGTAATGGATCCAGTTGTTTAAACGAGGCAGCAGAACGAGGAAGGAGCTGCTCCGTAGAAGCGAAGGCCTGGCGGGCCGCTAGCGGAGTACACACCAGGGTCTTAGGCTTTAGGTCTCCAGTCAGCCGTGGGAAGCGTTTGATTGCACGGAATCAGTTAGGTCTTGAGAAGCAAATTACCGCCCAATTTGTGGCTCAGACAACATTTATTTTTTCATGGTTTCTATGGGTGAGGAATCCAGGGGCGGCGATTTAACTGGGTCCTCTGGGTCTGAGCCTCTCACAGAGCGAGAGTCACTTCACGACTCAGCCGAGGAGGAGTTTCGTTCTAGCACACTCACGCAACTGGACTCCGTTCCTTGCGGGGTTTTGCGCTCAGGCGTCAGTTCCCTGCCACGTGGGCCTCTCTGAGGAGACTTGAACAATAAAGCACTTTGCTTCATGAGCAAGAGGGACAGCAAGGGAGTCGCAGTCTTTGGCAACATAATCACAGAAGAGACATCCCATCGCTTTTGTTATATTCTCTCATTAGAAAAGCAAGAAACTAGCTCCAGCCCACTGTCAGGGGAGGGGAATACCCAACGGCAGCAGAAAAGGACGGGAGTTATTGGAGCCAGGTCAGAAGTTGCCTACCACAAGCATGATGCCAGCATTTTCTTCTGTGCATCAGATTAAGGGGCCTCTAGGGAACTGGGACATCAATATCACATATGTTTGCAAGGCTAAATACAGCTCTTGGGAGGACTGATTTGGGGGCATTGAATGTGATCCCCTTTTTATGTATCAAATTGGCTGGTAAGTGCTGAGCAGGGCTCACCTGAGCCCCAGGAGACCCAGCAAACAGGTTTCCAGGAATGGCTGGAGGTAGCGCCCCTGTCTGAGGTCAGGGAACAGAGTGAAGATAAGAAGCCCTTGTGGCCTTATTAGCATGATACTCTAAACACGGAGATCCAGAGGGCCCCCAGGTAATATTTCATTATGTGTTGTGAGTTTTTGATTGGTACTTTGCAGACCATTAGGGGGAAAGGACCCTATGGTTTGATTTATGAAGTTGCTATTAAGATCATGGAGTGGGCGGTTGTGCTTGTTTTAGTGGTCCCCATTCCCCCGTTCTCAGCTTCCTGACTCCAAGTGTACATTTTCAGCAGTAAACTGAGTAAAGGATATATGATTTTGGATTATGTGACAGATTTTTAAGATACGAGTTGAATTTCTCATTTTAATTTGACAAATTCTATTAGTAAAATCCATATATCTTTATAAGAAGAGTTCGGGTCTGGGTTTTCCTCACCTCGTCTTGGCTGCAAAATCTCCAATTTGAGAACTTGGGGACAAATTGTTTTCATTCTACCAGTTGCAATTGGTTAGCTTCCAGAGGACCTGCAACGCCTCAACAAATTTCCCTCTGATAAACATGTCTAGGACACCCTCGCACTCCCAAAGCTAACTCCCTGCCCAAAGCTGTGCTGGCAAAACAGGCCGACCTCAGTTATCACATGGATCCCTCCTGGTGCCCTACACTGTGCTTCATATTTATACCCCCAGCTGGAATACGCACAACACAAGGACAGCGCACAACATCTTTGCATCCACAGCACCTAATAGGGAAACTGGCACGTCGTAGGGATTTTAAAAGTGTTTGAATGGATGGACAAAGCTGCCATAATATAGAATGCATGTTAGTAATTACTCACTATTAGTTTTCAAATGTCCACTATAATCTTCTAAAGAAAACAGCATAAGGACTTAAATTTTGTTTTAACAAAGGTAAAGATAATGTTGGTCGTTATTAAATGATGTTGCTAGATTCGTAGGGATTGCTATCACCTACCTTCTGACAAAAACAGGCACATTTTCAGTGTTTACTCTCTCATGTCCATCTTTGGTTCTTTTCCTCATAATTGATCCCAAGATGATTTTCTTTGTAAATTTGCTGTATGGACATTACATTTTTCAATTCTTCTATTATTTTGTGTTTTTAATGCTCAGTCCTTGGCTTTTTGCTTTCTTGTGACTAGTGATGCGTTTCGATACTACCTTATAGCTTCAAATATTACTAATAAATAATCTATATGAGTGGTATAAAGGCACCCTACACTAGTCAGCCAGCGGCCACGATTAAGAAATCTGGAACATAACATGGAATAAAGCCACACTCTCTTTTCAGTCTTGCATTAAAAATTGAGTCTTGCTGAGATATGGAAAAAGGTGTTATGCTTTTCGGGTTTTTTTTTGTTTTTCAGAGCAGTAAATAAGGAACCCAAGTTAAACTGACCTAGCAAGGCACACCCACTGAGGCTGGCTCTCAGGGTTCAGAGTTTACTGTATGGACTCAGGTCAGAGATTGTAGAGTCATTCTATTGAATGTAATCTGCATTGTGAACTCACATTTTGTGTTTATATTCTTTTTTTTTTTTTTAAGATTTTATTTATTTTTAGAGAGAGGGGAAGGGAGGGAGAGAAACATCGATGTGAGAAAGAATGTGCTTATATTCTTTGTTCCTCATTTTTTTCTAAGGATTACAGTATAATAGTCAAACAGTCCTGTAAGGTGTCAGTCCCTTTATCATGTCACAACCTTCTGGATGGCAGAAGATGACAAACTAACAGAGAAGTTTGATGGGAAACAGGTTTTTATTTTATATAGACATAAGTGCATTTTATATTCTTAATTCACAAAGAATGTAACTCATCCAGTAGCTAAGGCTAACTGACTCTCTTTGAGAGCTGGTGAGCGAACTCTTCAGTTTTTCCTGCACAGCTTATCATTTGATGCTGGTTAGTCATTACAATGATTTTTATGTCCTAGATTTATAGGACTTCTCCTACATAAAAATCTGAAAGACCTGTACTTATTCCAAGAAGTTCCCCCACTAAAAGAATTAAACATTCGATTCTGCCTTGAGCCTGTTACATCTTGCAGGGTCATCAGGAAAGTCAGTCAGCGCACGTGGCAAAGCAAGTTCACGAGGTTTGCAGTGAGTTCATCGCAGCTCAGAAATCCATACGACAGTGTAAATATCCATGTAGCACTTTTTCGTACCACCTCCCATGAATAAGGCATAAACTATCTCAAGAACCCATGATTTTCCTAATGAATTGGAGTCACCTATGTGTACTGTATTTGTGATGCACATTTGCAGTTGGGGTCCACAGGAAGGACACCATTTCCTGGATCAAACCACAGAGTGCAAATATTGTGCCCTAAATAACACACTAGTTACTGTAAATGTCAGTAGAGGGAGTTTTTCTGACTTTGATTTAATGAAAGCCTACAGCAAAGCCAGCTGTTAACACTTCTTAACTGCTTGTCAGACTGAACAGGGTAGATGGGGAAGGCTGAAAACATCTTTTCTGTATACTTTTGTCTTAGAATTAAAAGTTTTCAACAGGTGTTGAATACCAGTGCTAAGGGTTCTTTGCAGCTTGATGTCTTTTAGGTGGTGAATTTATAAATTCTCCTGTAGGCCAGGGATCTGGAATTACATAAGGAGATTCGTGTAAAATTAGTTTGGAATTTGCATCTTGAATCCTCTCACCTGCAAAATAAGCGTTTTGGTGTTCTGGGCTCCCCTTGAGGAGAGCAAAGGCACCCCGAACCCGGCCGTCTCTTTGTCACTGAGGATATCACCACATGAATTGTAAGCCATGTGTGTTTTGATTGATGTCATCTGCTCTGTCTGAACAAAGAAACCACTTGAAGCAAACACATAGGGAGGAAAGTATGCAGCACTCATTTCTGTAATTTTTGTCATTTCTAGAATGCATTAGTAAACATATGTGATTGCTAATGGTCCTATCGCCTTGCCTTTGTAAATCCCTTTGATATAATGCTATGTGTGCTGAGAGGAGATAATCTTTCAAACACAGGAAGAGTTTATAGTCTTATTATCTTGAAGAGGAGAAGAAAGTTTCTTCCTCAAGTGTTTTATAACTTGAAACATGTTGTCATGTTTTGGTAAGCCCACTTTATTAATTCCATCCTTCTCTGTGGCAAATTTTTAAAAATAAATGTACCATTGCATAGTACTTTCTCAATAACATATTGTACTTATAATAGCATGATGGAAGTTGCTGGGCTCAGTTTAGTCATGTAGAATGTGGAGCCAAGTTCTGAGTAAACCCTCTAATTGAATTACCTGCAAAGCACTGACAGACAGGCTTTCAGGAAAGACAAAGCTTTACTTTCCCCAGCAGAAATAGGTCATGTTTAAGTTGGCCTTGTAACTATCTGGTATTGGTTTTTGCCAGCACTTTCACCTTGGGCTCTGCTGGGCCCCTCTCCCTGCAGTCAAGGAGGCGGAGCTCTGTGAAAGCTGGAGAGCTCCAGCATTATCTTCTTATTTTAGAGAAAATTGATAACAGATCAAGTTAAATGGAAGAGCCTTTGAAATAAAAACCCGAAGTATTTTCTGTAGATTACCAACATTCTTGCATGATTCCTTCTTTATTGTATTGAAAAGAGAACACAGGGGTAGTAGATAAGTAGCCCTTTCTGTAAGAGTCTCTATCAATCTGAAAAGTATTTTTGTTTTAACTTCTGGGAAGAATTAGACTCTGCTGCTCTTATTCAGGAAGGAATTTATTGCAGACCATTTGCATTTGAAAGTGAAGAATAATCTGTCCTTCTCTCCGTTCTCCCGCCCTCTTTTGTTTTATCCACAGCCTCTGCAATCCCAGATAATGGAAGAAGGTCCTGTCTAAAGCTCAAAGTGTTTGTGAGACCAACAAGTAAGTTCACTAGAATGAGCTTCAGAGGGTGGCTTCTCTGCGCATGCTTTATTGTATGGTCTGGTTCACAGCGGTAAAACTTTTTTTACTGTTAAATCCTGTGTCGTATCTGTTTTGTATATCAACATCCATGTTTTAGTTTTCATCAGATTTTTTCTCATCATTCTTCACGATGCTTTTAAGTACACAGCAGTTGCTAACTTGTTGTTTCTTAAACTGTTGTATGTGCACAGCAAATGGGAACAATATTGGCATTTGGATACATGCCATTGATTGTAAAACAATCTCTACGTAAATAAGAGGAAAAATAGAGAGAAAGAAAAAAAGAAACGGGAGTTTAAGGGTGTCTGCACTAACATATTTGGCTGTTATCTCTATTTTTGTTATAGATAGCTGTATGAAAACTATAGGTGTTCATGATCGTGTTTTCGATGTTAACGACAAAGTAGAAAATTCATTAGAACCAGCAGGTTAGTATGCTTAGAGAATCTCTCTTAACAAATGCATCTCTCTGGTGCTTCAGTACTTTTTTTCCTTTCTTCCTCTCCGCATGTTTGCATGTTAGAGTTGCTCTGCTTTTTGCTCATTGCTAGCAATGCTAATATTACTTATATTCTACCTCATTCCTCCAGTATCTTTGTGTAGTGCATGTTAGATACAGTGACTTTTCTTTTTTGGACATGGGTCTGATATACTGCAGTATCCTAATGTAGAGCCCCATCAGAATGCTAAAATCTCCCTACTTTTCACCGTATCCTCCGAGCATGCTGGTGAGTCACTGTGATTATTAATGGATCTGTTTTCATATAATACAAAGAAGTTCTATTGTATATGCTTATAAAACTTTATGTCCAAATCTGTGGAGACAAGTAATAAGACTATTATTGCATAAAATAATAACTATTTCAACACATTTAGTTTTCTCTAGAAATTCACATGCATCACTGAAATACTTTATTTTATTTCAAATATCGGTGCTGTTGTTAACAGTAATTGATTTGGAGAAGGATAAACATGTTACCTCCTAGTGCCACAAATTCACACACCTGCTGCTCCCACAAATGTAGTAGTCTATCGAGCCAAATGTGATCCCTGATTACTAAGGCAAAATAAGTATTAAGGATAAATAGATTTTATCTATTACTAATCTCTACATACCCAAACTTTCCCATCACTGTGAAGGAAAAAGAATACCCACAAAAGCACTCACTGAAGCATGTACTGTGTAGAATATTATAGATAGTGTAAACCTGTGAACTATCCAGTTACGTATAAATGCATCCTGGCTATTTAATGCAACTGTAGACTGACTGTGAGGAGTGGGAGCTCAGGAGTGTGCCTCTGTCTGCTCGCCTTCCTGTGGGCTCCTTTCCTGGCCCTGTTTGCTCAAGATCTTTACTGGTTTGCTTACCCATCTCCTGTGATCCTCTCAAAGCTTAAGGGAAGTAAAATTATTTCCTCTTCACAGAAAGATGTGAGCCCCCTCCCCTTGTGTAAACAGAGACTGTCTTTCATCTGTTTGCAGTAGGGCTTCTTTCTTCTGGCCCTAGAAATTAAAGGGTGGTGAGCTCCACTTTATCCTTCAAGTATTGTTACTGGGACACACAGTCAATGAGCCTTAGGGAAACTTAGCCTGAGTAAATGTGGTGCCTCGGGACATACAATAGCTTTCACATTGTAACTGACAGGAGGAGTTAGGTTTTTTTTCCCCAAGCATTCTTGTTTTTCTAAGGCAGGCTTCTTACCCAGAGCACAAATGAGAGGTATGTACAATAAGCTCTCAGAGGCCCTAGTGGCTCCCAAGGGATCAGTTAGCTGCTTTGGAAAGTTGCATTTTAAATGGGTCCTGGAAATCTGGAAACATCACTGTGGCTTTTCAAGGTACCAGACTCCTCACAAGCTCAAGGACTGGAGCCATCATGCCACCTACAAGTTAGATGGGATCTCTGGTAAGGACCAGAGCCTACACTCTTCCTTTTATAGCTGAGACTTGCCCAGTGGAGGATCTCAGGTCACACGGCTAGTTAGAGATATGCAGGTTTAATGTGCAGATCTCTCAACTCCCATTACAACGTTACTGTAAAAGTAGGGCTCTCTTACCCGTTTGTAGAGATGTTCATAAAAAGCACTTTATTTAACTTGTACGTCCTCAACTTCTACATCCTCAGGATGTAGAAGTTGAGGACTTGGCTTTGTTAATGTCATGCATAAAATGACCAGCAAAGTTAGGCATGTTGTAAACATAAGTTACCCCTGAATTATGATTTTCTGATGCAAGCTGTTAAGAATGGAGGCATAGCTTTCCAATAGTCCCTTTTCCAGGTAAATTCCATTGCCTATCGAGAAAGCAAGAGGCTGCTTAAAAACATAACAGGTAGTATGTTTTTCTCTGCTACTGAAGACGCACACTGAGGACTATTGTGGCAATAGGAAAAGTACCTTTCACTTCAACTAATGATAAAATGCAACATATTAAGATGCATTTGTACGTGAGCATCTTTCACTGTCTTTGGGAAAACAGACTCTTTTTTACTGAGCGCTTAAAAATCCATGATAACCCCCAAATCTATGCCCAGATATCTGATGGAAATTTGACAGAATGTAATCAGAGAGAGAGAGTGTGGGGAGGGGAGGAGTGGACGTGCAGGTGCACTTGCTTAGGGATTCATGCAGAACAAGCTCCTTGAGTCAGCCATGGCTGTGCTTCAGGGATTTCTGGTGAGCATCTTCACTGAACAAGTAAGACGAGGTTGCACAACCATCCCTGGCTGTATAAATACAATAATAAACCCAAGTACTTCACCTTATTCCTTAGAAAATTCAGTCAGATTTGTAAACCCAGACTTTATGAATCCGTCAAGCCGGAAAGGTTTCCACTGCATGTTCTCAGCAATGTGTACTAATTCACCTGTCTTTGGAATGTATTTGTCTTTGATGTTTGCTTGCACACTCTGCCTGCCAGTTTCCTATCATCAGGGATACAGGATGATCTCAGGGCAGACATATGCCACATAATATGCTCCAAAATACTGCTAGTGTTCTCCCTGCTAACTACCGAAACCCTCATGTGCGGAATCCTGTAGCCAGGAGGCAGGACTTGATTTGGCTTCTGAAGAAGAATATTTTCTTCTTCCAAGTCACCTTGATTGCTATAAGTGTTAGAAATTCTCTTGTTTAGGTGTAATTTCCATTGGGATAGACTTTGCTTATGAATTCCCTCTTAGAATTCAGAAATTGTTCACATTTATTCAAATAGCAGCATGTGTCTCAGTTTGCTTCTCGGGGCCATAGAGTCTCTCAACAGTGAGGCTCTGTTTTAATGAAAGCATGCTTTGTAGAATCCCGAGCCAGGACCAGCGTGTTGCAGGGAGAACAGAAGAACCGTGATGCCCTAATGGGACAGAGCTTCTCCTTTGAGGGCAAGATGGCACTTACTGGTTGGTTGGTTAGGAAAGGGCCGATTCTAAAGCTGGTTCATTATTAGAGGACTGAAAAGCACATTTAGCCTCATGTCTCACTTCTATGAAGAACAAACGCTTCCTTCTCAGTGTCCTGTAGGTTCATTTGCCCTGTCTGCTGCCGTGCGCGTGGAGCCTTGGACAGCCCTCAGTGAGCGCCCGCAGGGAGAGGCGGGGCTAGCTGCCGCCCAGCGCACGCGGAGCACCTACATGTTACTTGGGTGCCTTTTCGCAGTGCACTTCCAACCTTGAGGACAGGATAATAGCTTAGTAAAAACAAGGTGGAGAAGTATCCAATAGCAGATGTAATTTCAGGTGTATAAAATAAATGGTATTTCAAAGTGAACTCTGCAATCCTCAAGATTTATGGCTCTTTTACAATTAAGCCTGAAGTACTCTATTGTCCTGATTGACAATATATTGGTGCTCTTAAGAAATGATTTGAATTTTAATTTCAAGGCTATTAAGGGCATTTACATCCACATCTCTGTTAAGTACAGGCTTAATACCTTTGCAGGGGTGAGAAAAAGCATAGAAAAGAGTCCACAATTATTTGGCTACACTGTGTGGGGCTTTATATTTCCCTCTGCATCCATTTAACTTCCCATTCTTGCTTCCTAACCTTTTCTAGACTCCTAAGCTTAATAGCCACTCCATACAGGCTTGCTAAGGGCCAGGAGGAGGGAGCCAATCGGGCGTGGGGATGCAGTAGCTTCTACGCAAGGACAGGCTAACATAAGAGCCCTCCGGGGCAGAAGACTCAAAGCTGAGAAAAAAATACTCCTTAGTTCATGTTGGGCATGAACATGATGAACAGAAACGGCGCACCTGAGCATGTCTTGCAGCAGGGGCTGAGGAGTGGTCACTATAGGACAAATGGTAGGGAGTATATCTCCACCCAGCGAAGAAAAAGCACCCTTACTGTGACTTGCGTGGTAAGAAAATAAGTGAATTTAAAACAGCAGATAGTTAATCCATTACGAGGTTTGCAATGGGTCGTTCAGGGGTATTCAGGGATTATCCTTCGAGATCTACTAAACTGGAGTCTCTCCCTTGTCACCGTTCTGACTGTGGAGGGAAGCCAAGAAGATGATGGCTGGGCTCCTACAGGAAGTTCCCCTAATGCTGAAATAAAATCTGCCGCAGAACCCCACTGTTGGCCCCAAGAACATGCAGTTCAGCAGTAAGGTCGGCCAGGTGCAAGGAAGAAGATACCAGTACTAGCGCATGGCTCAGGGGCAGACCGCCAATCTATCTTTGGGTACTAATTGCGGCAAAGTTCCTGTTTTGAAGTTAAGCCTGTTAATCATGCAGATCAGGAAGGCTATCCAGAGTCAGAGGCAGCCTCACAGAACACTTTATAGCTAAAAAAAAGAAGCTTACCTCACTTAATCCATTTTATTTAGAGGAAAATTTGCATCCACGCTGATAATTTATGTGCTAAGCTTCAGCCTGATAAAAAATCCAAATAGTTAAGTTCAAGTAATTTAATCCTGGAGATACAGGGTTTGTAGTGGAAAGAGCACCATAATTGATGCCTAATTGTAAGCAAACCAGCAGGCACTGGTGTATTGAGGTTTAGTAGGCATTATATATCGTTTATTTTCAATGCTGTTGTTTTGGCATTTGATTTTTCACATTTGAAAATGCATCTAGGCTTCCAACAACCAGGCATTCAGCACTAATCCTGTGACACTGCTTCACCTGAGGAAAACGGGCAGCCCATTCCGATTAACCACTAATATGCCAACATAACTGCCCCCACCCCAGACATGTTACTACTTGCTTCTCCGTGGCACCTTGGGTTTCAACGTAGCATTCAGAGATCAAGTGTGTGGAAGGTATATCTCACTGCTGGTAGACCGCAGGAGCACACGTGCCAAAGCTTACCGTGTGGGTATAATGTTTTCCCGCAATTTTTAAGGAAACTATTAATATTGCTGAGAAAGTCCAATTTTCTCTGCTCCTCTTTGTTTGCCGTAAATAATGAGTGATTATGCAGACATGAAAGTCAATGGCGGCACAAGGTTCATTACCTTACTTTGCAGAGGGTGGCGAGGTCTGTTAACAGCAGGCTGCTGCGAGAGAGTTATTAAGGATGTGAAATCTCATTGGAATGTGTGCTTTCTATTTGAACAGATGACACCGTACATGAGTCAGCCGAGCCGTCCCGCGGTGAGAACGCGGCACAAACACCAAGGATACCCAGCCGCCTTTTGGCAATCCTTCTGTTCCTCCTGGCGATGCTTTTGACATTATAGCACAGTCTCCTCTCGTCACCTGTCACAGAAAACATCAGGGTCTTGGAACACCAGAGATCCACCTAACTGCTCATCCTAAGAAGGGACTTGTTGGGTTTTTTGTTTGGTTTTTTTTTTTTGGCAAATGTCAGATTTTTGTTTTCTTTCTTTCAGCCTGAATTCTAAGCAACAACTTGGGGCCATGGGGGGGCTAAAGTAGTTGCTGCCTCCCTCACCCCATCCCCAGCCCTTGCCCTTGCCTTTTCTCACCCCTTCCAAATTAAATGGACTCCAGATGAAAATGCCAAATTGTTGTAGTGACACCAGTGGTCATCAGCTCCTGTGCATTCTCCTCTAAGAGCTCACCTCCGTTAGTGCACTGTGTCAGCAGTACGTGGTCAAGGAAGGATGGGGCAGGTGTGGCCCGTGCCGGCGAGGCCCGGGAGGGTTGCGTCTCCCACGCAGTACGTTTGCCGCCTCAGCCTGGACTGCAGGATAGTCACGCAGGGCATCGTGCGACCGTGTCGAGTCCAGAGGGGAGGTATTAGGAACAGATCTACTACTACACCATATCCTCCAGGAGTGTGTAAATGAACAGGCTTCTAAAAGGTTGAGACACTGGTTTTTTGGTTTGTGTTTTTGTTTTAGATGACTGTCATAAAGCATTCTTGACAGTAAAACTTGTGCTCCTGAAAAGCAGCCTTGTTTTCCAGGAGGCGGGCAGGGTGCCGGAACGCTAGCACAGAGCAAGCATGAAATCAGAGGAAACTCGAGTTTGGTGGGGGTGTGTATGTACGAGTGCCTCTAATTTTTTTTTTGGTGACCGGGCAGTGTACACCAGGTTTTTTTTCCCTTTGAATACAGATCACCATGGTGCTACAACTATTTTTTTTTTTTTTTAAGAAACTCAAAGAGGCATTTTTATGAATAAAGTGACCTTCCCCAAGGCTGACAAGCCAGGGTTGATGAGTGCATAAGGGAATAGCTTTGGATACTCCTCTGGGGCACAACGTGAACCGAGGGAAAGAGGCCAGTGGCCAGAGGAGATGTGATTTGGCTTTGCTGGAGCGCCAGTGTGCTGTGGCCTTTCCCCGACTCCCGCCCTAGTGCCCGCGTTTCGCTCCACACTCCACGACTACAGGGGCTCGGACATGAACCCCTGTCACCTGGAGAGTCAGTCAGTGCTACTCGGGAGGGCCAAAGGGAAATTTGGAATAAAAATTCCAAAGTGTGGAACAAAGAAATTCAAGTGTTGATTTTATATTCTTTCCCTGTCTGACACAGCCTGAAGCATTGGGGGAACACGTGTTTATCTGTGGGAGATAAACAAGATGGAGTCCCAAAGACTTTAACAAAATATTTTTTTAAAAATCCACTAGAATAGAAAATACATTATTTAGATATACTTTATGCTGAGAGTGAGTATATATGCTTGTCCTATTTAAACTTGTGAGAAAAAGTGGTATCCCTTGATACATTTAGAGACACGGGGGCTATCTTGTTCCATTGTGGGGATGGGCCGACGGAGAGTAAAGGCCGGGGGCCCTCTGGGAGGGCCCGCAGCGTGGTCAGGACGGGGTGTTTCCAGGTAGCTGCCAGGACACGCAGAGCCTTGGGGGTTTCTGCTGGCGAGGCCATCACGGACTTTCAACTCCAGAGCCTAGACAGGGAAAAGCATCAGACCAATGGAAGAGAAATCTTGCCTTTTTTTGCTATTGCACGACATATCAATAGAAACCATGCCTTTCGAAAGAAAACAAAATAAATGTGATGATTGTCATGTAAGATATGAAAAATTGGAAGAATTCGAGTAAAACGGGGGGTGTTCAAATATTTTTTAAAGAAGTGTATTTAAAAAAAAGCAACAAACAAACCGAGGTCATATTATGGACAGATTTCATGAATGGGAATTTGTTAAGAATTGTGAACAGCTCTGAATTAGGAAAGTATGTGAACAAAAGGCAGCTGTAAAGGTCCTGCGCCCTGGGGAGTTGTACACATGTAAGTTGAACATGGGGATTTGAAATGTAATCTGGGCTTACCTGATCTGTTTGGAGTGGATGTTACTGCTGGGTCGGCGTGCACTTGGAACCGGCGACGGGGTTGCCGGCCTCGCCGATACGATCTGTCCTACTCCCCTGGACATCAGCGACTTCTCCGGAGTGGCAGAGTCCTAGTCACAGAAGGCAGCCACCATTTCACTGAAATAAAAGTTCACGGCATTGGATTCTTTTTTTCTTTAACTATTTATATGCTCTGTACTCTCAGTAATATCCAATACTGCTACTACTTTTTATTAATAGTTACAGGCTTGTTGGTCCAGTGGGATTTGGATAGAGGGAAAAAGAAGATACCTTCTAAAACGGATCAATAGTCAGAACCAAAATAATACTGCATGTTCTATAACCACGAGGAAATCAAATGATCCTGTAATGATCCCCGTTAGTCATTACTACATTAGCAGTGCTAATTTCATTTTAGAAATGGTGACTTCTGTGGTTTTTCTAGCATTTGTCTCTAACAAATGATGAAATAATTACTCATGGCCCTCTCTGCCAACTCTTTCATTTTTCACAGTGAAATTAGACCCCTTTACTTCACCATTGTGCCACTACAGATTAAGTAAAATAAGATAAAAGTAGCAAGACTATCCACACCAGTAGACTGTGTGCTTCTCTACCTATAAGTGATGTAATTGTAGGTAATGCTTGCCACGGAGTTTTCAAGGTGATTGGTATCAGACAGTTTTCATCTTGTCCAAAAAGTGCTGGTGGCCTTTTGTGGTGGTGTTACAACCCTCTGGGGGCTTAGCAGGATGTCCATGCAACTTTGTAGCAGCTTTTAATTTCAAAAACAATTCAGAAGCCTGAAGGACAGCCTTAGCTGCCTCTCAGCCCCGGTTAGTCAAACCCCAGCGACCTTTGGCCCTGGTTGCCTAGGGCTTTGCAACATGAAGCAGGGAAATAAGGATCTGTCTGTTTAGTGGATACCGTGTATCCTTTAATAGACCAGTTAACAGTCCGTGTTAGTTTAGACTATTGTTTTGTACTGTACTTTCTTGGGTGGCAGAGGAAAGAAAAGTAAAACATTAAAAAAAAAAAAAACTGCGTTCTTTAAATTCTGTATTATTAGCAACCTCTGTTGTATATAGTGTTTGATAATAAAGTATTAATTTGATTCTTATGTCTTTTGTAAGTGAGAACAATAGTCTTTCAGGATACAAAACATGCATTGAGGCTTTGAAACATCCAATATGTATACTTGCTTGAGAAGGGTCACAAATGGCCGAGACACTGCTCCATATACCAGACTCGCGTGTGGTCATCACGCTCCCAATCTTGAGACTCCACCATCTTGGGACCTGGAACAACATGACTTTTTGATCACTATGTTGTTCTCAATGTTTTCAAGGTCTGATGCTGGAGCCTTATGGGGTTTCACGCCCCCGCCCCACCCACCCCGACCCCGGCATGTTGGTTTGAAAAGGTTTAGGGACTTTAGAAACCTTCTAAATTCTGTACTTTGGTTTGACATCCTTTGTGGTGATTTTCCCAGTTTCACTTCGCCCCGAGGAAAAATAACCCGTATCACACAGCCCAGGTATGGGAAAGACTGCCGACAGTTCCTTCAGGAAGGTTCGAGGGGGGCTGTTTCCTTCTGTCACTGCGAAGGGAAGCGTTACACAGTACCTGTGGATTTCCAGGAACTTTGTTTTTCTCTGGTGCCTTAGCAACGGCAGCAGCCATTTTTCTTAGTTTTTCCCAAATTAGAAAAACAGTTTAAACTCCTCCTCTCCATTCATTGCTCTCAGAGCTGTGGTCACTAGTTTTTCTTTTGAGAACCACCTCCACCAACACCCCGTTTGCCTACAAACCCCTTTTATTTCTTATGTTTATTTTTTTGTCTCTCGCCTTCCTCCCACGTTTTATTTTCCCTCAGAACCGTGAATGGGCAGGTCTGTCTCTGGTTTGGCATCACTGAGCTTTTCCCATGCATTTGCCCCAGAGCTGCTCGGTTGTGAGACAAATCTCCCTACAATGGGCTTGCTCCCATTGTCTGTACAGTTTAATAGATGCTGGCATGTTGGAGGTTACCCATGAGTCAAAATCCGCTTTCCATGCTTACTCTTGACACCCCATTGAAGCCACTCATTGTGTGTGCGTCTGGGTGTGAAGTCCAGCTCCGTGTGGTCCTGTGCTTGTACTGCCCTGCTTTGCAGTTCCTTTGCACTTACTCATCGAGTGCTGTTTTGAAATGCTGACATTATATAAACGTAAAAAAAAATGTAAAAGAAAACAAAAACCCACACACAAACAAACCCCATACGATCTGTATTTGTATATACACGTGTCCATACAAGTATACCTAAATAAAAATTAAAGATTTTCATCATTTTAATTGGAGCCCTCCTTCTACTTCTTTGTTCCTTGAATGACGCCTTTATTTCAGGGGCTACTTGTACTTCGCTGATTTTCAAAATCTTTGTGGATAGAAAAGATAATAGGACATGTACAAGAGAAGGCCTGAGAAGCTCAAAGAATGCAGGGTTAGACATGGCCAAGTATCTAGGCACATTCCAGGTATTCTCATGAGAAAATGGTGAGAGTTCAGCCTTGTCTCTGTATCTGAGCCTTGAAAGAGGTGCTATGACAAGGCCTGCATCCTTAAATGACTATTAAATACGAGAGCTAAATACAAAATATGTTCTTTTACTTTGCATTTATTTTTCACCCGATCAAGAAGAGACATAATAAGCTTTTTTCCCAGTAAATATCTTAAACTTATGAAAGAAAGAATGACCATTATAATAATAATTCCTTCAGTACAACCCAAAACCTCAATCCTTGCTAGCAAGGAAGAATTAACTTACCGCTGTGTGACCTTGGGCAAGTCACACAATATCTTTGGGATTTAGTTCCCTTATCAGTGAATCGCAAGATTGTATAATTGATTTGTTTGATTTTTTTTTCTGAATGTTGCCTTTGCGGGGTACCATCAAGCCCATCCTGCATGAGCGATGTGAGTATTGTTTCTGACGGTGACATTCCTTATCAGCACAATTCGAAAATT